TGCAAGGTAAAAGTGACAATGAAAAGAAGAAAACCGTATCCCTGTTGATAAGTAAGCTATATCCGGCTGTTTTTGGGGTGGGGTCACCATAAAAAGGCACACCCTGCTTGCACACAAAAGCAAATAAAGTCGTTTGCGTTGAATGATGGGCAATTAAGTGTCTGTTAGGCCAATTCATGCCTAAGGTAGGCTGCTTCCCGGGCGTTTTCTGAGGTGGTGTGGTGTAAAGGAAGATAATTTGGGAAAAGATGCTGTCGCAGGCGTCCGACAAGCTTTACACACCAATTAGTAGCAATGCTGGTTCAGAAATATGCAATAAAGCAGACGTACGATCAGTTTGCAGTCATGCGGGAGACAGCCGACCTGGGCAGTGGCCGCAGACGGCGAACGGGAGCAGGGCTCAGGAAAGGAGTATATGACAGAAGGACCTTCATTTGTTGGCTCGGTTAGTAACACGCGCCCGGGTGGCCGGCAGGACACTCTTCGCTCGGTTGGAGGTGGGGGTCAATTTGACCCCCCCATGAGATCTCGAGAACTATGAGAGCTAGGGACACCAAATTCACGGAGTACATTGATCTGTACGTGAACTCACTTAGATCAAAGTTTGATGTTCCTAGATAACGACCTTCGGGTCAAATAAGGTCAAACAAGGTCAAATTCCAAGCTGGTCTCTTAAGTTCCCCCAGAACCTAGATAACTGCTTCTAAGCAAAAGGTCACATGCTCACTTAAGGTCATTGACCTTGCTAGACCTTTAAAAGGTCATGGTGACCAAAATCATGCAAGACTGCTCTGTTAGGACTGTTTGGAAACTATTCTGGAAAAAACTTCAGGGGAGGTTAATTTGACCCCCACCCGATGGCGTGTTTAAGGAAGATATCAAGTTGTATGACTTTTGTCACATTGTTTTGGCGGTTTTAAGCTCCCGAATTTGTTTCCACCTAACATGCTGTGACAATCCTTATCTTTTGAAAAGAAGCCAGCGAAATGAAGGCGCATGAAAAGTCTGTTGTACGGTGAACCATCGATTCACTTTCAAAATTCTCACCAGCCTATGTCCAGGCAGTATTTTGGCATCTCTACCCTGTAAAGGCAGATGCCTCCTCAATGACCCAAAATGCCTCCCCGCTCGTCGAATTTCGTTTCCCCAGAAAGGACAATGCTAAATTGGAGAACTAATCTTGGGAAGCTGGACAGATGTATTTGCTGAATGACATAGATGAGTCGAATAGGCAAGATTGGGCACCGGTGAGAAAGAGCTCTATATGCATATCTAGCAGAGTAGCCATGGCATTTGAATAAAGAGCGACTCCATCTCTACCCTCTCCGCCGGCCATCGGCATTGCTTTCCAGAAACATTCTGAAGTACGCCCTTAGCTTGCCCCCCCCCCCCCTTTGAAGCGTTCTTACGCCTACACCTTTCACTTAGAACAGTTACCTAGGTTCTAGGGGCCCTTTGGAGACCAACCTGGAATTCGGCCTTGTTTGACCTTATTTTACCCGGGGGCCACGACCTTGGAACCTCAAACTTTGATCTAAATGAGTTCACGTACAGATCAATGCACCCCATGAGTTTGGGTGTCTCTAGCTCTCTTAGTTCCTGAGATCTCTGAGGGGTTAAATTGACCCCCCACCCCCACCCCACCCGAGTGGAGGGTATCCAACTGGCCAACCGGGCGCGTGTTAAACATGAGCCATCGCATTATGACACAAAGACCACAATATGAATGAATATCTCTCGTGATGAAAGGAAGCAAACACACAGTGTTTTATTCTCTGTAGGCATAACCGATCAGAACAGGGCGACTTGATGGTAACGGCAGCCCTGGCGAGCTGAGTCATCGATGGCTGTTTGCTATATATCATATTTTTTCTTGAAGCACACCTTATACACCCACGGGGATCATTTCTATCATGCCTGACCGAGAGATTTGTCTGGTTGCGTTGCTACAAGTTTACTGCACAAGGTGTCAATAATTGATCTCCTGGATAGCCCATAATTTCAAGAGGTCCTGGTTTGAGATGCAATCTAGATTCCTTGCATGTAGGTAATTAAACGCACTTGAAATGCTGAATGACTAGGAATATCTGTAGCAATACGAATGGCTTAGTAGTTTCCAAAATCTCAAAGATGGGATATGGGAGACCTAGTCCAGCAGTCACGAGCTTCAAAACCGTTCCTATCTCGGACGAATACTACACAGGAACGAAAAATGTTGAGCAAAGTATGCCTGTAGGCGTGGCTTGTCGCCCTGCTCCGACGAATGCACATAGACCAAGGCTGTTCGGCGCGCTGAAAGATAGCCAGAGGGTTGGCGCGACTATCGGCACGCGCCGGTACCGGGGACGCCGCTTACACCTGCGCGTAAATAGTCACATGTGTGCACTATGAAACACAGGGGTCGAGTGTACAGATGTATCTGTGAAACACTTGGTTCGACTGTGCATGAGAATGCTGATATTCTTAAGGTTGTTTTAGTTCGAGATGAAGTAAACTTGTTTTGGCCCTGCTTGCCGGCTGAGGTGTCCCGCGCTCACTCCGTACGAAGGATGCTGGCACTGGATGTGTGGGTGTGACCAATCATCGGTGTGTCGACGAACAAATCGTGGGGAACTAAGGGGGACGAATTAAAACAACAAGTCAAGGTATGACAGATTTATTGACCCACACAGAGCTTTTATGAACTGGAAAAATGCACGAAGTGCAGAGCATGCACTGTACAGCTGGCAAATGTTAGG